GCTTAGATTTCTATCGATTACAGCCGTCTTGTGGGCCCGATTTCTAAACTCTAAGCGAATTCGCATGGGCAATTAGAAACTGCGCACGCAGATATTTCGATCGTCAGAATGCGAAATGGGAAAGTGAAGTTACGATCTTTTTCGTTTCCTTCTTCCTCGTGGTGCCAGCCATTGGCGATTATCAGAAGTGGCTGACTTTCGAGGCTTCCTCGCAGGAGGTTCAGAATTTTTGGCAGCCCCCACGTCAATTTTCATTGACAGGTCTGTCCTTTTCCTTTGTCGTAGTGTAATTTTCATTGCGGCCCAGATTATTGTTTTCGTGCCCAAATCGATTTGCATGGCGTCCTTGGACGTACATGTCAAGCGTCTACTTGATGTTTGCAGGATAGGTGGAGCAAAGTTCTCCAGCCTAAAACGTCAAAGGAAGACCCCTGTTGCGTCTGCCATAGGTGAGATCCATGCATGCTTTGGTCTGGATGTCAGCAAGGACAAACCAGACGTGCATCCTCTGAATATCTGTAATTCATGCAATCAAATTGTATGTAGATATAGGAAATCTGATAAAGATTTCACTGTTAGAGATGGAGGGTGTGGATCACCTGTAGAGTGGACACCTCACAAACGGTCGTCTTGTTCTTTTTGTGCTGAGTTCAGCCAAGTTGGCAGACCCAAAAAGAAAGACAAAAGAAATCCACTTACTGTGAGTGTAAATACAAATGCCCCAAACTCCATTTTAGATAGTAGGTGTGAAGCATCCAGATCGTCTGGTCTGGACTTACAAGATGTGAGTAAATTGCAAGGCCTAGCAACACCCTGCTTCAAGGCAGATGTAGAGCTTGATGCAAGCCGCTTTACACATGACGTGCAACACGCATGCTGTTCAATTTGTACCCTGGTGTTCAACCAAGCCGTGGAGGCCCCATGTTGCAATAATTCTTTTTGCTCTACATGCATTTGGCACTGGCTTTCTGGGGCAGACACATGTCCCTTCTGTAGGACCCCTCTTCAGGCTTCTCAGTTGACTGCACCACACCCATTTACCACAAAAGCTCTAGCGGCAAGCACTGTGCATTGTGATTTCTACCTTTCTAAGTATGACGGGTGCTCTGCAACAGTGAAGTTAGATGGTCTGCAGGCGCATGTAAAGGAGTGCCCATTTAATCCCACGACCCCTTATGTTCCTTTGCCTCCTACCGTCAGTCCATCATTCACTGTCCAGGATGTTCTGGATGCTCCAGCATCTCACATTCGAGGAGATTGTAGTGGCAAACTGTTGAACAAGCTTGTGCAAAACATGGCCGAAGATGGTGTACTAGAAGTGAGATCAAATTCTAGTGGTAGATCTCAGACCTGGATGCGAGCAGCAAGTGGCACTAAGTCTACTGAAGAAGTCAGTACTAGGACTGTACAGAGACGTAACAGTTTGATGTCTCGCGTAGCCACTAAGGTGTGTAGCTCGAAAGAAAGTGCTGCAGCCCAGACAGCTGCATCCATTAAAGTGCTACCTAAGTCTGAACGAAATGCCTTACTTGCAGATGCAGGGATGCTCCCCAAAGGCTCACAGAATGCAGCTGGTCTAGCACTAAAAGCCGACATGCACATGTCATGGTTTGCAATACGGAAAATGAGAGTGTGGCTGCGGGAGTTTGGTGTATTCTTGGAATCAGAGCGTTGCATGCGGGAGCAGCTCAAAGAGGACATGCCATTCAACCTTACAGCAGAGAAAGTGCCCATGACAGATAAACATGGAAATGTGCAGTTGGCACCAATGGTTGCAGTCATTGATCTTGTTGGTATGGTTCTGCACTACCTTGAACAACATACGGAGGCATCCAACTTAGTTTGGCATGATGCAATTCCTTCAAACACCATAGTTGTCAAGATTGGTGGTGATCATGGTGGAAGATGGGGTACTTTCAAACTGAGCTTTCAAATTGCCAATGTTAAGGCACCCAACTCCCTGAGAAACACAATACCATTTGTATTATTTGCTGCTAAGGATTCTCCAGCAAATCTTGCAACAGCATTGGCTGTATTTTCAGCACAGATCACGCAGCTGAATGTTACGAAGTGGAGGTCTCACAGCATACAGGTAGTGTTGTTTGGTGATTATGAATTTCAGACGCACAACTATGGGCTGTCGGGTAGCAGTGGCATATACCCTTGTTTGCATTGCCAGACAGCAAAGAGAGATTTTCAATTGCCACTGTCTGATAGGACCACCCCCCAACAGCCTAGAACATTGCAGACTCTCAATGCTAATCACACTGCGTTCATGGACAGTGGCGGAAACTTGAGCAATGCGAAGAAACATTTCAACGCAATCCGTGCAGTTATCCTACCTGTCCCTATTGAAGATGCATGCCTCCCTGCCCTTCACTTGGATTTAGGCATCTTTCCCTATCTATATGAGGCCTTGCTAGCAGATGCACAGGCATTAGATTTGAAACTTGCAGCACACACTAATATCACTGCAGATTCAGGGCATAAGTCTTTCGACGATCTTGCTGAAAAGCACACACTGTTACGTCAGAAAAGACAATGCCATACTGAAACCGAGCAACGACGAACAGCAACCATGCAGCAGCTTACTTATCTTGCACTTCATCTGCAACAAGCAGAGCATGGCAATGCAGTTCAACAGCTACAAGCACTGATAGGTGTCCATCAATTGCAATACAGAGAATTAGATGACAGCTGCAAGAAACTAGAGACAGAAATTCTGCAAATTGAGACAAGTATTGATGGCATAGCACCTACGAGTCTATCCGGTCCATGCGCGGCGAGTTTAGATGATGTACTTCAGAAACACTTCATTTGCCGCCAACAATACCACGGTGGAAGCTTTGTGGGGAACCACATCCACCGTGCGCTGAAGCCCAATGTTATCTCTGCACTGGTACAGGCACCCCTAAGTGTCCTTGAGACAAAGCAAGTAGATGGGGAATTGGCAGATGAAGCAAGAAGCGTATTGGCTCGCTATAACAACTTGCTCACACAGTTTGCAAAATGCCGCGAATTGTATTCTGGTGCTTCGCGCATCACTGCAGGCCAGCTGGTTGACTTGGAAGCATCCATTGCTACTTTCATGAGCACAGTCCGCACCGAAATTGTTGCACGCAAGAGAGGTAATATCACTCCTAAGCTGCATCTATTGGAGGAACACGTTGTGCCCCAAATGAAACATTTCGGTGTGGGGCTGGGTTTGTATGGAGAGCAGGGTGGTGAAGGGATACACGCTGAATTCAATCACCTTGCAGATAGGCACGGTGGTGTTGCATGTCCAGTGCAGAAGTTGCTGTCCATTACTAAACAGCATCTCATTTCAACCAATCCCAAACTCCTCACTTTGACTCCCAGAGTGAAGTCCAGAAAGCGCACGCATGAGGAGACGTAGCTGCTATGCCGTCAACATTGCATTGGAGAAGTAGTAGATCGACTTCCATCCCTCTCCTTCTCCAATATGAATTGCACCTCTAACAATTCATCTGTGCTCTTTTCTTGTGCATGCAGATCTGGTCGTCCTCATGGGAGGACAATGCTCTGGAAACAGAGCGGGCTTGGGGTTCTGTCTTTTGCACGTTATGATGGAAGTGGGCAAACAAACGTGCCTTTTTTATTATTTCGAACACAACTATGTCAACACAACTGCTGCAACAGCACGATTCATGTTCACTCCATTGCTACACTACAATCGTTTTCAAAACAATACCTGTACTGACTCCTGGACATACTCAGTTCGGTAGTTCACAGAAGGGGGCTTCCAGGTCTTCGTAGACTTCTTCTCCTCGAGAACACCCTCTGACGACCTCTCCAAGACACAAATCCATCGCCAGAAAAACAAAAACTTTCTTCGATAGATTTGAAAAAAGTGCAAAAACACGGCACGCGTCAGTACGCTGTGTGTACGCGTCCCTAAATGAGCTGTTGCGAGGCGGGTTGCTACGGTACGCCGCCATATTGATAAATGTCGCACTCGAAACAGCCGTGGCTTGAGGATGGACTGCCGGGGCCAACATCAAAAATTCCTTCGGTTGATCCCCTAGTTCACATCTTGCGTGGTTCCACCCAAATTTTCAGTGTCGTACTGTCAACCCGTGCTAACTAAAGCGGGATTCACAGAAGCTTTTTTTGCGATGCGACAGCTGCGAAACCGGGAAATCCCCAAATCGCAACCATCGCGGACCCCACGCAACTGCCGCAACAGGGCCATCGCATGCGCAGGCCATCGCAGAAGTTGAGCTTGACTCAACTTTTGCGATGCGATGCGACAAGCGATTTGGCGTACGATTTTGACCTTTTCTACAGCAAAGTTGTACAAAGGTTCAAGAGTTGCCTATAAATTTGTACAAGTTGTATCAAACAGCGTGAATATCATGGTGACGTAGCCTAATCAGCAAGATATTGTCGCATCACTGACTTCTTCTGTGAATGGTATTTCGCGAGTTCGCATCGCACGCGTCCGTCGCAGATCGCGTCGCATCGCGTGTCGCATCGCAAAAAGCTTCTGTGAACCCCGCTTAAGTGTCCTTACTCTATTTTGAAGAGGCATGTGTCGCACTGAAAATGGGCTGCGAGATGGTAGAGTTTGTGTACAAGGGGTGGTCCAGCTGTGGTCGCGTGACAGTTGAGCTGTCGTCGCATGAGGTGGCCGGAAACAAAATGGCGCCGACGTGTTTGTGTAGCGGGCCTGGAGGCAAAACAACCTAACAACTCGAAACTAACTAGCGTGTTACTTTATTAACAATTCTCTCTCTCTCTCTAGAACGGCAAAACTGCCTCCAGCAGTGAAACTCTGAACTCATCGTGAAAGATAAAATTATCCATATAAAAACCGCCCTGTGAGCGGTTCTGAAAAACCTTTACTGGTGCTGCCCCGTCGTAAAAGTAAGAAATTAGAACTGGAGCATAGTCCCCCCCCCCCCAAATGCGAACAGATCCACCTAAATCGCGAATGATGGAACCCGAACGCGATTTAGTGTAAGCGAACCAAATTCAGACTTCAATGTGGTCGTCACAGGATGATATACCTGCAAGATACAAGTGATGCAGAAAGAAAGCAGAAGGTCGTGAGGTAGGCTATGAGACACCACAAACGGGTCACCTACATGTATGTTCAGGGCTAGTGCACTCACACGCAGAATTATCATATTCGAGCATTTCCCAAACTGGGAAGTGCAATGAAATCCACTTGCATGCAGAGGAGCAATTTTGCAGTGTGATGCGTAATTCGACACGATCTGCGATGCTGCGTGCGATGCAAACTCACGCAAAATATCATTCACGGAATGACTGCAAGAGGTCAGTGATGCAACAACGCCCTGCTGACATGTGTCTCAAAGCTCAATAAGAATGCGTTTGTCACCATGGCACTCGCATAGCCCGTACAACTGGTACAAATGTGCAAGCAATTCATGAATCTTTCGTCTCGCCTCCTCAGATAACCACTGCAAGGCTGCGACGACAACCTTCGGCCTGACAAGGTGCTTCCAGACAATCTTCACACTGGTTGGTACACAGTTCACTATGATGTTTGTATTGTCAGCACACAAGTCATGCATGAGACGCGGGTTGCCGTCAATTGGCAATGGAAGGTGGAGTATTTTGTTCTTGGCACCTCACTCGCTTTGAATGCGGTCGACTGCCATGCTTTGTGTCTAGCTTGTAACATGTCTGGAAGGGTTCCACTTTTTGAATGAGTAATTTTTCGAATGAGTTTGGTCGCGACAAGCACTGGGGTACAGGGTCAAGGTGCAAGTCATTGAGAACGCAAGATGGCGGCATGCTGTCTTTTTTCGCGTACAGTTTGCAAACCCTGCAAATGAACATGGCGTCTGTAGCGTGCGACTGTACACCATTAACTATTGGCAAAATATACACACAAACACACCTTAAACGTAACGAACTACAAGAATAGAGTGAGTACAATGCGCTGTCGACCTGATAACGTGTTGGAAGGTAACAGGTCTACCGTCCCACCTAACCGTACCCTTCATCATTCCTCATTCACCATCGCGCGATACCATGGCACACACTGGCCACAAATCAAGGGATGCCTTACCGTCGTCTAGAGGGGACGTCTTCGCAGCAATGTTTTTCGTCCTGCGCATTCAGTCCGCCGACGCGACAGAGTTTACGGGGCCGTTCCAGTTGCACAAGACATTCGATTCATCGGGCCAGTGCAGCAACAGGGCCGTGGGCACACAGGGGCAGAGGAAAGACATTGTGAGTGGACAAGAAATATGCAGTGGCAAGTGCCATGAATGTCAAGTTCTTATTTCTAATAGGGCTTGAAAGTGCTACGTCACAGCATAACAACAATTTCAAAAATTCAAAAACTGGATCCACTTGGATCCAGTTTTTGTATGGATCCAAGCACATTTCAAGCGGTCTTACCCACAGCATGGTGATGTAGCCAGTGAAACTGACTGATTTGGCTACTGGGGGCGGGGTTACAACTGGTGGCGAAATAAAAGTCACACCTGCATGCGACATGAGTGGGTTGCTATGCACCCACATACTTAGGCAATAGCAAAGTCAGGCTTAGTGGATCCAAAAATAGAAATCTGATGTCAACTTACTACTCCCTGGCCGTTTTGACGTCATTACTTTCAAGCCCTATTGAGCTATTACTTACAGTCCTGCCATTGCTCGCTCGTCCTGATTCCTCCTCGTTTGTCTGCGTCCACTTCTGCCGTTCTCCTCCCCGTCACGGCGTCAGGTCAGTGCCTTCTCATTAATTTCTCAATGGCAGTTTCCGGGACGGAGGTACCGGAAGGAGTTCGCACGATGCCTCCAAAGGCCTAAAGCGGACGTCTTTGCAGCAATATTTTTCGTCGGCGGATGGGACAGCGTTTACGGGGCCGTTCCAGTTGCAGAAGACATTCATCAATGGCACTTTGCGGTACGGGGGTACCGGAAGGAGTTCGCACCGTGTCTCCAAAGGCCTAGAACGGACGTCTCTGAAGCAATATTTTTCGTCTTGCGCATTCAGCCCGCCGACGCGACAGCGTTTACGGGGTCGTTCCACTTGCAGAAGACATTCATCGATCATCAATGGCACTTTGCGGTACGGGGGTGCCGGAAGGAGTTCCCACGATGTCTCCAAAGGCCTAGAGCGGACGTCTTTGCAGCAATTCTTTTTGCCCTGCGCATTCAGTCCGCCTAAGCGACAGCGTTTACGGGGGCGTTCCAGGTGCAGAAGACATTCATCAATGGCACTTTGCGGTACGGGGTACGGAAAGGGGCCTCCTCGTTCGACTTCGTCGACTTCTACAGTGGGCCTTCCCGTCAGGGGTACCGAAAGGGGCCTCCTCGTTCGTCTTCGTCGAATTCTGCAGTTCTCACTATTTCGCGTACGGGAAAGTCGTCGCGCGATGGCTTTCTCGTAGACCTACGTGACATCGACGTTTACCGAGTGGCATGGCATTGGCACAAAACAGACCGCTGACGGGGTCACGTGTCAACAAAGTATCAACAATGTGTCGACAATGTGTCGTGTCGACCACGTGTATAGCGGTACACTCAGCGGTACACTAATTCTCGTGCCATTCTCGTGTCACAAAACTGAAACATCGAGTACCAGTATGGAATGGCTTCAGACAGGAAGCCTTTCCAATAAACGCAATTTATGGAAAATAATCCAAACAGCAACGTACTGTCATGCGACCGTTGTATGGTAGAACGAACGTCGTATTGTACGCTGAGCGTATACGCAAATGCTGAGCTTGTAGCGTGACCAATGCGTGACCAACGCTACACCTCCCCTCTCAAAGACAATCACGTCCCCCTGATTAGTAACGGGTTGGTGGTCGAAACATTTGGCGGTATGCATGGTCGCGTCGGGGCAACCTCGACAAAAGAACATAGAGCGTCAACCGGGATATGTATGGCAAATAATATCAGAAATTATAACGTTTATAGAGTAGACAGAAGAAATGAACTGATAAAAAATCATAAAAGTAGAAGCACACCGGGGTCAAACTATCTCACGGGTTCAAAAGGGAAACCTCATTACACTTCCTGTAAAACGCTAGCGCAACCCGCCAGGAAAACCGCAGTTCAGAACCGAACTGAATACCGTATTTTTCGGAGTATAGTGCGCACCTTTGTATAACGCGCACCCCCAATCTTCATTGGGGGTGCATACTTCAATCTTCATTGAAGTACATGCATTTCATATTCGGAGCAAAGTGCGCACCTGCAATTTAGGGCCTAAAATAGCACATCTAAAGTGCGCACTATACTCCGTAAAATACGGTACACTATATTATATATTTAACATCGTCCCAGATTAATTAGATAGACCGTGGTTCACCATGATCAGACGCCTACGAAACTAAACTGAATTCATACGCTCGCGTAAAGGAAGACTGAAGAGAACAGGAAGACTGAAGGAAGACAGGAAAGAAAATGCCATATCTAGAATTAGCTTACACTGGCAATGTACATGGAGCTCCATACTTTGAGACGCTAGCGCTATCTGTCATGGAGCCTAATCCCTAGAGACACGCTGGCTGCCATCATGACTGGCTAGTTGTGGCGGGCGGCAGGAGCAGCGGAGCTGGGGCAGCAGCGGGTGACGGCGGGTGCTCCTTCAGATACACTAACTTGAGCCCTCAGCAAAACGTGGATGAAAACAAAAACAAAAATTGACGGCTGTCACAAATGTGTAGCGGCCATTACGTCGGAAAACATGCAACTACTGAAGTAGAACAAAACTTTACCACTGCCACCAATTTTGTAGCGCCATTGCTACCAATGTAAAACAGGTGGGGTCGAATCTGACAAGGTTAACTTTAACCACCGCTACCACCAATTTTGTAGCGGGCCTGGAGGCAAAACAACCTAACAACTCGAAACTAACTAATTTGTTACTTTATAAACAATTCTCTCTCTCACTCTAGAACGGCAAAACTGCCTCTAGCAGTGAAACTCTGAACTCATCGTGAAAGATAAAATAAACGCAATTTATGGAAAATAATCCAAACAGCAACGTACTGTCATGCGACCGTTGTATGGTAGAACGAATGTCGTATTGTACGCTGAGCGTATACGCAAATGCTGAGCTTGTAGCGTGACCAAGCTATGACCACTGCGGGTTTTTTGACGCGTGATTGCAGGAATTTGTGTGCGCTTAGAATTGTCATACGAACGCAGATGCCTGTGTATGCGTGCGTGCGTGTGGACATGTGTGTGTGTATGTGTGTGTGCATATATCTCTAGGTGTGTGTATATGTGTGTGTGCGTGTGTTTGTGCGTGTGCGAGTTAGGGTGTTGTGGGTGGGTGGGTGTCTGTGTGTGCGTGCGCCCGTGTGCAAGTTAGGGTGTTGTGGGTGTGTGTATGTGTGTGTATGTGTGTATGTGTTTGGGTGTTACTATGCGTGTGCGTGTTGGTATGTGTGTGTGTGTGTGTGGGTGTGGTGCGTGAGCGAGATTAAGCGCGTGCTTGTTAGTGCTAGACCTGCGCCTACTGCATCTGCCTCTGAAATAGCCTGTCCCTGTATACATTCACGCGATTACTCCTCTCGCTATCGTATTATCACACCTCTTTCCACTTAGATATACCAGCGCTGCCTCCTATTCCATTATCGCTGTCTGATGATTGGTTCAGCCATGAAACTCTGAGTCACAACGGAATTAATTTGCCAAGGTTTTCATTGTATGCCTTTGTGTACGCCGCTCTGCCTGAATCGGGCATTGAGCACTCTTGCAGAACCAAAGCATATTGCCTCTGTGTATTTAGTACATGTAGTATGTACTGTATTGGCATTTCGAAAAATCGCCAGGACCCCGGTTCTTGCATGCTGCCGATGCCTCATATATTCAGGCCAGGGAGTAGACAAATACCGGTATTTTACTACCCCCTGATTCATGCCTTAGCGCCTTTCGCATTGACCGTTTTCATCCCCGCATATGCATGCATAGAAATTATAAAAAAATCGTCGGTGCGCCGCCCAAAAACGGTGCGCGCGTACGTAATAATAATAATAAACACAGCTCGCATCTTCCCTGAACCTGTTAGACAGGAGCAGAGTTGACGCATCTGTCAACAGTGTCAAGCCAAGTAATTAGTTAGTCTATCTCCTGCAGCTTGGAGAGCGCTCTCCACGGAGAGATCCGCTGCCTTCAGGTCGTGCCGAATCGTATCTATCCACGTACTTGAGAATCAAATAATATTTACCATAATATGTTTTCGCAAAGCTTCAATTCCCTTTCTTTACTTATCTTTGATATTTATGACCCACCCAAGCTGGGTGGTGTGCTGCTTTGCTGCTTCGAATTGTAGTTAGACCGCTTTGTCAAATATCGTACTGGTCTCGTCATCGTCCAGTAACAATCGACATTCTTTGTTCCGTTGGGACTGTAGCTTTTGCTCGTTTTCGTTGCGCTTGCCTTCCCCTCTTTGGTCTTTCCATAACCTTGAACCTTCCAAGTTGGAAGGCTGTCGGTTAGCGCTACGGAGATGTGTTGAAGCTAGGTGTCAGGACGTCGAATGTTTCAGTACTCTGTCAGTATTGTGCCTAGTTATTGCACTTTCTGACTGTATATAGTGTCGTATCCATACTATTGGCACGGGCCTTTTAGGCCTCTACGGGACAAGTATGCCTTATTTAGGTGTCTTATTAATTATCTATCCCCCGTAAACGGGTTCATAATCTTCTTTATTTTATATCTTCACACAAGGCCTGAGGCCTTCCTTATTTGGTATACGCTGTTATTTCCCCACATGGCTCCCGCTCTTTATGCAACAGTTCGTACACATATTTACTACGGTTTGATACGCTATTGCATGCGGGACCAGCAATCTCGGGGCCATGGACTTCCATGGCCGCAACTAGATACTATTGCGATGACTTTCCTTCTCTCTCTCTCTCTCTTGCCTTCCGCCTTCAGGCGGAAGCTTCGTCTTTCGTCTGTCTTGCCTTGTGCTCTCAATAATTATTTAGAAAAGCGATCCTGTCAGCTTTTCTATTATTGTGTTCACATGGCGCTACCTAACGACACCGCTATTCAGACACGTTGTCTACGTAGCTACGTAAGTTTCTACGTAAGATGCTCGGTACCTGGTCCTGGACCTGGACCAGGGAGCTACTCCATGGCAAGGGACCATGGCTCCTACCATCGCGCGGCCTACTGGCCGCATGCGTGTGCATTGCAGACTTTTTGTTGTTGCCTTTTTGGTTGTGCATGCACGACGAACTTCCTTCTTTGGAACTGCTTCTTGCATGAGCTGTTTCGGATATTTCGTCTCCTGGCCTGGCTTCTTTCGTTTCGGCGCTGCTGAGACCTCCTTTCGCGGATTATTACTCAATGACAGGTGAGTTGACCAGTTCCCTTTGATTCATTTGCTTGTGTTGACTCTTTCATTTACGAAAAGTATGCTGATGTTGGGCGGAATGCAATAAATAATGGAAAAGCTGACAGGATCTCCTTTCTCAATTTAGCTTTTCCGCTGCCGATGCCTCCTTTTACGGAATACTCAATGACAGGTGATCTCTGAGTTGACCAGTTTCCTTCGATTCATTTGCTTATTTGCTTATTTACGGAAACGTGTGCTGATTTTGTTCGGATTTAGATCCATTTTTATCTCTTTGCCCTTGCCTACAGTGTGCGAAGAACGCGAGTTCACCTTCTTGACGGTAAGGCTTATGTTGCTGCTGAGGCTTAGATGTGTTGTCGAAATACTCATGTTCATTGTACATTGGTAATTTACAAG